TCACATGAAACATAAGTTTTTACAACGGAAATGAATGCACAAGAGCCTATTAAAATTATGTAGATCATTCTAGAATCGATTTCCAAATTTGGTAAAAACCCTGACTGAATTATATTACAAAATAATGTATTAATTATATTAATTATTTCAAAAATACCAAGTAAAATTACAGGAAACTCCCACGTTTTTGTTTAAAGTAAAAGGAAATTTGATATAACTTCCATGAAGAATAGGTATAGTGTATGTAGAGTAGGTGGAGATATATTGCTATCTTGTTATTGACTTCTACCATCCCTCAACTCATCTATAGTTGTTTTTAAAAAATTCTATTTTTAAATGTTTTAATGATCAAAATTACACAAATAAAATGCGAGTCACTTCTTTATGGTAGAATTTTCACTTTTGTTTTATAATTAATGAATACAAACTTGGTTTTATTTTTTAATTTCAATTACAAAAACCTTTTAGGTTTGGAAGATTTCAGATTAAAGTTGAACAAATAGATCTCACTATACACTTTAGTGAGTATAACAAACCTTAGTTTTTACAATGTATAATCCATATTTATTATGATTTTATTAATAATATAATACTTGATGAATGTTTTATCAATTAATTCAATAATTTGTATAAGAGTAATCACAGTGAGCGTCAAGGACAAAATCTACGAAGCTTGCAAAGAAAGTTTTGTGAAACGAACGTTTACCAATTATTCAATAGTTTGTATAGGCGTGATCAAAGTAAGTGTTAGGGACAAGTTTTCAAAGGAAGTTTTGTAAAATATACTAACAAACATTTTTATCAATTATTCAATAGTTTATATAGGCGTGATCAAAGTGTTTAGGACAAAATCTACGAAGCTAGCAAATCAAGTTTGCAAAATAAATGTTTACCAATTATTCAAATAGCTTGTATAGGAGTGATCAAAGTAAAGGGTCAAAAGCAAGCTTCATAGATCTACTGATCAATCGTCGTATTATTTATTTATTATGATGAAAATAATGAAGAAATTGAAGTTGATGATGTTGAAAATAATGAAGATGCTGCAATAACAACCAAACAAGATTATCAATTGAAGACTATATTAATATTGATATAGATTTATTTAATTCTGAGATTAATAGTAGTGTAAACCAATTTATTGATGAACAGCAAATAATTGTTGAAGATGATTTAGATTTTGATCCATCAAGCATACTTGATATTTGATATTAGTATTTGTTAAATAAATAAATAAATGAAATTTTGCAACATCTTATTTATTTATGCATATAAATTTTTCTTTTCTCTTAACCTATATATTAATAAAACCACCATGATAAATAATTAAATGAATAAAGCCAGAAATAAAACACCTTTTAATTTAATCATTATTTATGTAGGGAATAAATGCAAAAGATAAATTTTAACATCTGTTTATTTATTATACTTATTTTTAAAATAAATGATTTTACTATAAAAGACATACTTAAGTGGACAAAACTATTACTGTGTAAATATTTATAATACGCAAGTAATTATTTGAACATTCATATTTACTTTTGCTTGCAACAAACAAATTTCTACATATTAATATATGAATAAATATAAAGTCAAAATTTACTAATGTTGAAATGATTTCGGTTTTATTAACAACTTGCTTCAAATTTTGATAGCAATGGCTACACGGATTCAATTCGAATTCACCAGAAAATTTTCAGAAAATTTTCTTCCCCATTGATCTGCAGAAAATGTCGCGTTCAAAACGTATAACTGACAGAAAAATCGTCCATATATGTACCGACTGTAAAAAACATTCATCCATCAACAAGAGAAGATTATTGTGTT